ATTAGTTGTGGATCGACATTGTGAAAAGCCACAAATTTCAGTCGAAGAGAATAGATATGGGCCAATCAAAATCTAAGGATTTACCGCAGATCATTCTAGAATCGATGTCCAAAATCTCTGACTGAAATAAGAGTGGATCGGTAATTTGTATTACTCTCAGTTTCTAATCCATCAATATATGCTGTAGTTTCTAAATTACTTAATCTCGGTGAAGTGTTCTTGCGGAACTTAATACTTTATATGGTCCATGTGGGTGGAAGTGATATCGATATACGTAGATAATAGGTTGGATTATTTATTTCAAAATCTATTGTAGATAGGGCTGAGAATCTTGTAGTTAGCGATAGTGATAGGAAATAAACAATTAGTATAGAAATTTATAAGAAACCTGAGAGAGCAAAGAAATAACTTGATGCTGGGACTCGCATTAAATGGCCTAGGAACCGCGTACTCCCTCTATCATGGGACCCGATTGATAATTCAGTCAGATATCTGATATACTGTACTAAAAAAAATTATTTATTAATTATTAATGATTTTTTAAGATACATATCGAATCAGAGAAGCGAATAGAATGTATGATGCTATCAAAGAGTCGAATTTCCTTATATACTTTATATAGCTCGTTGAAAAAAAATAAAATTTTCTGAATACCACAACCAAGTTGAACACCATGAACAACGACAAAGAACCGTACTCTGGCTATCACGGCAAGTGTTATTTATGATGCTTATTTAAAAGAAAAATAGTCCTTTTTCCTTTTCTAGATTCTAACCTGCTATTTAAAAACCTTCAAAGCCCTTGTCGCCTACTTAAAAGATAACGACATGCAGTGTTCCTACACCGAATTTTTAAATTTTAACCGTGATGTCATTCTTCTCTCACAACCTTTTTCAGACAAATGGAATGTTCTTGACCTCACTTGGGCTCGCAGGTTTTTAAAGGAAGCGAAAGAAGCAAAGGAATATGACTATGCAACTTTGGAAGAGAAGGTGATGTATTCGTGCGTTTCGTAATATTAGGGAGCTTCTGTCTATTCTCATCTAGATTAGAAGTATTGGTTCTTGTCCCAGCCCGAGTAATAATAGTGGCAACTCCACCTATTCTCATCTAGGTTAGGAGGTATCGGCTCTCATTCCGGCCCTATTATTGCGATTTACCTTTTCTTTCTTGAGATAATGTTTTTTATTTGTGATATGGACATCATACACTCATTTTTGCCCTCATATTCATGTAGGTAAAAAAACAACGTGCAAACAAAGGTTTGCAGATCTACTTGGAAGGAATAATTTACGAGCGAGGAAAGGTTTTTATGCCTCTTGCCTTTATGTGTTAAATCTTTTGTATTATCCTATGTGATAATGATTAAACTCTTGCAAAATAGATGGAAGCACAACGAGCACATCTAACTGGAAGTATAAAAGTATACAGCAAAGTTGCAGAACATAACGCTGAAATATTATTCTCTGAAGACTATTCAAATATCTTTCCTTTTCAAAGTGGACATCTTAAAACAATCAGAGATGAAAAAAACAATACATTTTTAAACACGTTTGGAAAAGATAAGGTATGGTAATGTGTATATGTTCAATTCGAATAAACACTAATGAGCATGATTCTTTTCAGGCCGAGAGGCCGAGTCCGAGTTGGACGGCCGAAATTTTTTCTTGAATTACTGTATATGGCAAAAAACCGTTCCCTCGAGGAACGATCAGGATTACACGCAATTTTCCGATTGTGTCATTTTGTCACGGTTTATCCCACCTCTCGTCAGAAGCATATGTCATCATGTCATGTATAATTGGCCGAATTTTTTATTCTGAAATCCATTTGCAAGATGTTTCGAGTGATTTGTTTAGTGAGTTAGGGCCTGATAGGATCAAGCGAATTCAAAGAAAACATTGACTATGATAGTATTATTTCCAATGTTTACTGCGCCAAAAGACGATTACAGCAATTCTTAACCATTATGTAGTTTTTTTTTTTACATATACGGATGAGGGCGTGTATAATGTATTATTAGATAAATAACAGATTTTTTGATTATCGCTAACAAAAATAAAGGTATCCCTGCGCCATAACTATTTAACTGTAAATTAATAAATCATGGGAAATCTATCTAAATTTGAATCATGATATTCTCTAGTATAAGGCCGCTCCAACTTACAATTATGTTTAACAAGAATTTTATTGAAAAAAGACATGCGGGATGGGGAATCAACAAAAAATTACAAATTTTTTTAAACAATGATCAAGCACAAAAAATGATGGGGAATTATTATTTATTAGTACTAATTATAATGTTTATTATAGAATTTTGAAGATAGGAGGGGGGTAATGATAGATAACTATTTACATATTGTAAAAATTTTTACTAAAATTATATACGTCTCTTTTTTCGCATTTGTATTTTGCCTTTTGTAAAAAATTCTTTCCTCTTTCTTGACAAACTTCGCATAAGGGATATACTGTTTGAAATTGAGATAAAATTTCTTGTGATGCTTCAACAAGATTATCCTCTTCACCACAATAATAACATATCTGTGAATGTTCAATCTTACAAGAATAATACACCTGCTCAATTGGTAAATTACAAGTTAAATTCATTCTGACAAAAACCTTGTCATATAAGAAATGATTTTCTGGAACAATTGGTGAATCACATGTATATGCAAATGTTTCTATGACTGTTTGCAATGCTTCACAATTGGAATCATCTAATGTATATTGGCTAAACAGACAGCGTAGTTTTGAACAAGAAATACAAAAAACAAAATCATGAACCCTTTGCAGCAACCAAAATTCCACTTGGAGCAAGTTCTATGCATTCATGATGATTTTTTTACTTGAAATATCTTTTTCAGTGGTATTTTACCTATATAATGAATCAAAATCCTGATAATGATCGGGATCTAATTCAATAATTTGTGAATTAGAATAATGTAATTGATTAAAAATTTCATGTGATAATTGAACAGGATCACAAATTAAGCAATCACTTTCTTCACATTTTTTAATCTTAAAATAAAATAAAGTGAAGTTAATATTATTAATATTGAAAAATTAATAAAATTAAAATTCAGTTATACCTGAAATGAATATTCTTAGATTAATTTGATGAATTTTGCAAATCAACACAAGTACGAAGTTTGTTTTGTGAGGTATTATTTTAAGTAAGAGTATTATCAATTCTTTTATCTAAAATCTATATATAAAGAATTTGGCTATAAAATTTGAGTAAATATATTAAAGAAACTCAAAATTTTTTTGCAAAATAGAGCTTATGACAAGTACTTACTTCAAATAAACTATTAATTTCTTCCAAAGTGACCAGTTTAATACATTTAAACTTTTGATTATACAATTTTAGTCATTTAATTCTAGTTTTTAAAGTTTTTTTGATACTTTTAATAGCTGTTTTTAATTCTTCACTTAAAGTTTGATTAAATAATGATGTATTTCAAATATCTTCTATTGTTTCTAAGCTTTTAAATATTAGTTTAGAATCATATTACTTCTTTTTAATACTACGCCTTGTAATCTAAGATTTATAATTGATATTACTTGCTCTACAGGGTTAGTCTATGAATGATATAGTGCTATTCGAACTGCTACTAGAAAATCAAAATTTTCTTTCAAAAATAAACAAATTATTGCTATTTGAATATAACCAAATGTGATTTGATGATCTGCACTATCATCAGTATAAATAATTAGCATTTTAGATAATGTGATATATTTTTTATATAAACGTTTTAGCCTTTTACTAGAATGTTTAAGTGCTAAATTAAGTTGAAAGACTGAATATTTATAAGAAACAAATACTTGTTCTTGATAAAAACTTCTACTAATATCTTTAGGAATTTCACAAAATAATGAAACTGATAATGTTACTGAAAGTTTAGTAAAATTATAATCGTATATTAATTCTATACTTAAGAATATCAGTATTACTTTATTGCAAACTCCTGTTGATATTTTACGAAGTTGTCTACTTAGTACTTTGTAAGAAATTTTAAATTGATTAGTATATTGTATAGAAGTTTCTGCATAAACATTCTTTAGCTAAAATTGAAGTTTGATTCACTTTTTACTTGGAATTGGAATTTTGAAAAAAGTTTCTTTTTCATATTTAGTTTGTAAGTGTTCTATTCTTTAAAGCATAGATATAAATTAGCTATAAAACATTATAGAAAAATTATAATATTTTAATATCTAGTAATTATAAAAGGATAAAATAAAATTTATTAAATTTGTCATATTAAGA